TGGAAGGTATTCATATCATCATAATGCTGATGTCGTTTGTATAATCGTGTTTCTCTCCAGCTCCCAGCCAGCTTTTAATAACTTCTTTTTAAAAGAAAGGGACTGAGCCAGTTATTTTCCTGTACATCGAAGGTGCTCACTAGATGTTTATGGAATGAGTTTTAATACCCCCCCCCACCCCCCACAAAAAATCACCTTTTAATTTAAATGTGTCTTGAGAAGTAGTATTTTGCATGGAAGGCAGAATTTCTAAATGGTGTATATATGAAGAATTGCACATGGATGTTTTACCTTTCAGGGACTGAAGACTGAACACTATAGAAATTATAAGTTTGTGCGTGTGCTAAACCAACGTTGCCTCAGGCTGCCCTCAGCTATCTTTGGGTTAGAAAGGGGAGCCTTCCGGGTTCCCCATCTTCACAGTTCGGCTCTTCTTTACCCAAACACATGCGTGGTCCACACCCTTAGACATGGGACTGGAAGTCTAATAACATCATAATCAGCATAGGGAATAGTGGCAGATATTTGTAGGAAATGTAATCTTCAAAGAGGAAGATGGCAGTTGCAGATGCAATGGGAATTATTAAAAAGTTGCTAAGCAACACCCGTGAATTTTGGGATTTTTCCATCTGTCTTTCTGTCATTGCTTTCTCGTTTAACTCTACTGTGGTCTGAGAGCATACTTTGTATAATTTGTGAAGCTGTGTTTTACGGCCCAGAATGTGGTCTATCTTGGTGAATGTTCCATCTGAGCTCGAGGAGAATGTGTATTCTGCTGTTGATGGATAAAACATTTTATAAATGTCAAGTAGATCCAGTTGATTAATGTTGCTATTCAAGTCACCTGCATCCTTATTGATTTTCTGGCTATTGAATCTGTCAATTACTGATTGGTGGGTGTCAGTCTCCAACTATAATAGTGGATTTATCTATTTTTCCTTGTATTTCTATCAGTCTTTGCCTTGCTTATTTTGACACTTTGTTATTAAGTGCATATACATTAAGGCTTGTTATGTATTCTCAGAGAACAGACCCTTTTCTCATTATCATTATAAAGACCATCTTTTTATCTCTGATAATTTTCTTTGTTCTGAAGTCTGTTTTAATCCAGATTAATATATCTACTCAAGCTTTCTTTTGGTTTACCTTTCTCCATTGCATTACTTTTAATCTCTGTGTCTTTAATATTTAATGTGGGTTTCTTGTTCTATGGGAACTACACATTTTCTAAACATAGTCTTTTAAAAAAATCCACTTTGCAGTCTTTTTTATTTTTATTTTTTAAATTTTATTATTAGTTTCAAATATACAGTACATTGGTTAGACATTTATATAGTTTATGAAACAATCCCCCTAATTGCTCCCTCCCTCCCCTGGCCCTCCACCTAGCTATTACATTAATGCTACCTGCATTCCCTCTGCTGTGCTCCCCATGCCCATCTATCAACTACTAATTTGTACTTCTTAAACTCTTCTTTTAATTGGTGTATTTAGACTATTTACATAATAAGGTTGCTTAAAGAAACCCTTGTTATTGTAAACTTTCACTTTTAGCAAAATAAGGCATAATTATAGAACAAACCTGGTGTAACCATAACCCAGGTCAGCAGATGAAATGTGGCTAACCCTTCAGGAGCCCGAGAATGTTATACTCCTCCCCTGACTGGAGCTGATCACAGTCTCAACTTTCTTGTTTTTATTATTTTAACAACTTATGCATTCATAAACGATATGGTTAATTTTGTCTCTTTTTGACCCCTATACGCGTTAGATCATATTTTAGGTATTGCTTTGTGTCTGGCATCTTTTGCTTAACAGTATGCTTATGAGGTCAATCCATGTTGTTGTATGTAGCTATAATTTATTTACATTTATCACTATATGATATTCTATGGTATAATATAGTCTTATTATTCATCCACATCTTTATGGACATTTAAATTGTTTATTATTTGGAGCTTTTATAAACAACACAATTGTTTTAGTCCAAGTCTCCTGAGAAGCAGACACGCATACAGGACTGAACATGCAAGAGTTTTAGTAAAGGAGATTTCTGTGAGAGGAAACATGGAGAGGGCCAGGGAAGTTGGGATTGATAGAAGACCACAATGCAAGCTCGATCTTTTGAAGGAGAGAGGGAAGGAAGATTTGGGTGGAAGCCGAGTCTCACTTTGGCTTTGTGTTGGCAGAAAGGGATGGTAAGAGAGTGTAGTGGTTTCATGTTGGGTGGGCTTTGGAGACTAAAAATAGTACTCGTTTCTAGTTCTAATTGAGATTTACTAGTCGTGTGACTTAGGGCTACTATTATACCAATAGGTTATTCTTGAGGCGCACTGTCATTTGTTCAGTGGGGATGATATTGCCTACCTCATGAAGCTGTTGAGACTCCTGGTTCAGAAGTCATGGATGAAGTTTATAATATAGTTCTAAGCACAGAGTTAGGGCTCTTTTAAAGTGGCATTTTAAGAACAATGGCTCTTGGGCATGGATAGATTATATGTCCTGGGACTCCATGTTGACGTATGATAAATACAGAAAAAATGAGTCCACTATGAGAATTCCAAGAAAGGTGGTTTTAGAGTTGATGCTGGGGATTTAGTCTTCTTGAGATTGAAAAGTCAATCAGGGGGCTGTTTTTAATCATTCTTTTATTTAGCCCTTAAAAATTTTGTTGAGAGAGTAGCCTTGAGAAAGAACTTTCAAAGTTTATTAAGGGTAAGATTTCCTAGCACCATAAATTCTATTTTCTGTTAGCAGAGCTGACACCAGGAGCAGAGCAGTGATACCTTGAATGTTACTTTAGAAACGAATCAGAATGATTTATCATCAGAGATTTTTGACATAATTGAAATTCCTGAAGAGTTATTGTGAAAGGGATAGAGAATCCTTGAGCTTAGAAGAGGAGATTCTTTTCTTGAGACACAAATTACAGCAATTACATGTGCGTATGTAATTTAAGTGTCACACCAATTTCGCAAACGAGATATGAAAATTAAACATTATTCAACTTTAAATTAGTAACACTTCCTTGGTAGATTTAGAGAATGAGGATGTGAGAGCACAAGTGACATCCATAAATCGTTAGCATTGGCGATTTTTGGATCTGGGATTAGAATCTTGATCATTTGAGAAATATCCACTTTGCGGGTTTTCGTGCTGATTACATCAAACAACTGTGAAGTGTCTGGCATGATGCTCCACGAATACCAGCACTCGGTAAAAGTTGGTTACTTTATGTATATTGTGGAGAACTGGTGGGAGCATCTTGGGAATTGATCCTTCAGCTAGACGATAATACTAAAGCCAATGAAACAGAAGAATTTTATTGGAGTCCAAGACCCAGAACGTTTTACACATACTACCTCTTTTAATTGGCTCTTGCCAGTTTCGAATGTCTTAAAACTTATGGCTAAGTTTAAGCTTGACCATTTGGGTTGCCAGTTTTGGTCTGTGCAGTGCATGCATTTTCGAAGTCACCCTAAAATATCGTGAAACCAGAAAGAGTAAAATTAAATAAGTGGAAACCTTTTATCTCTGCTTGAAAACTTTCTTTAAATCTGTTCTCAAAAATGTTTCTGGTAAAATCGAGTTTGTAAATATTTTATAAGATTACTTTAGACTTTAACCAAGTTAAGTCAGCTTCTAATTTCGAGGGGAAAGAAACTAAATTTCAGAGGTGTGAGGTTTCTGAACGAGAGGGAGAAAGCTAATCTTCACAGACTTTTTTTTTTTTTTTCCTTTTTTTTTGGAAACAGTGGGCTCATGCTGTGATACAAAAGTCTCTTTTCGCTTTTCTCTATGGTGAGAGAGGGAGGAGGCAGAGGAGGCTGGAGAAGCCTCCGGGAGGGCTCGCACCTGCATAGTGACTAGACCGACACTCATGAAGAAGCGAACGTGCCAGGAAGAGAACAAAGCCACAGAGGAGTGAGAAGGATTCCCAAGCGGCAACGTCACGCTGGACAACTCCATGGTAGGTGGTGTCCATGAAAGAGTAGCGACCTAGAGGTGACAGGCTGGGATACACTTTTCTGAGAGAACGGCAAATAATATGGAACGTGGGACTTCAAGGGCTAAACCGTTCAGGTAAAGAAACAAAGATTTTTATAGGCGCGGTGGGTGCAGAGAGAGGAAGGCAAGAGGACCCCAGAAGGTGCTGATCAAAAAGGAGATTGAACTATGACATGGCTGAACGGGTAAAGGAAGGACACGGTCGAAATCAAGGAGATACCGACCGAGCAGGCAGTTCAGGTGACTGAGATGGAGACGAGCACCCACGTGTTACCGCGGGACTCGAAGTTTCCGGCCCCCCGCGTAGCCGAGACGGAAATGTCCCCGGAGGGTAACGCCCCTCAGAATTTGCTTAGCGAATTGCTCAGTGTCCATCATGGGTGTCCTCCTTCACAGGGGTATCTTGGAGAGAGTGTTTCGTGGAGTAGACACCTCGTTTCGTGGTTTGCCTCAACTATACAGAGTGTATCTTTTTGGATTCCGCCCTATGCTAGCAATAAGAGCTATCCCGTTGTGCAACTTCGGGCTGTTTGTCGTTGAGTGTGGAAGTCAGCATTCGGGCAGCATGGGGCCTGGAGTAGGAGGACCTGCGTCTGAATGGAAGTTCCGGCCCTTGCTTCCTGTATGCCTCTGGCAAGTCAGTGTTCCTTGTGGGGACCGTGTCCCCTCGTTCGTAATGTAGGGGTAAGTGCATGAGCATCATAGCACCAAATAGCATCAAACAGCTTTTGTGCCTGGTGCAGAGTAAGCATCCTATAAAAGGTGGCGGTTGTAATACCTATTGTGACGATAGGTTCTCCTGGGTGGGGTAGGGGGGAGTTGCTGAAATAACCTCTCCCGGCTTATGACTATCCACGGTGGGACCAGTAGACACATGGCCATGGGGAAAGGTGAGAGGGTCAGGCAGGAGGCATCTCGTTTTCAGAGATGCTCGCAGAGGGTCCCCCTTGCCTAAGGCAGAGGCGGAGGAGGCCGCCAGGATCGCTGACGCCTCAGGTGGTTTGGCTAGAGATGCTCTTACTCCGGAACTGGGAAAACGCTTTCTTCCTCTCTAGCACCTTCCCCAGGGCCTCCTTGATCTCTTTGTTCCTCCAGCTGTAGATGAGAGGATTCAGCATGGGGGTCACCAGCGTGTAGAACACAGACACCACCTTGTCCCTGCCAAGCGAGTAACTGGAGCTGGGACGCAGGTACATGAAGAGGGCCGTCCCGAACAACAGAGCCACCACCATCAGGTGCGCGGCACACGTGTTGAAGGCTTTCCTCCGACCCTCCGCTGAGCGGATCTTCAAGACGGCAGCCGCAATGTAACCGTAGGAGACGAGGAGGATGAGGGATGATGTGCCCCCAACGGTGGCCACCACGAGGAAATTCACTACTTGACTGAGGAAGATGTCAGAGCACGAGAGTGCCAGGACTGGTGGGAGGTCGCAGAAGAAGTGGTTGATGACGTTGGGACCGCAGAAGTGGAGCCGAAATATAGAGCTGGCCTGGACCAGGGAGCTGAGGAAGCCACCAACATACGCCCCCAACACCATGCGTGCACAGAGGCCCTGGGACATGATGGCAGCATAGAGCAGGGGGCTGGAGATGGCTGCATATCGGTCGTACGCCATAGCAGTCAGGAGGAAGCACTCAGTTAGGCCCAGGCCGATGAAGAAAAAAAACTGAGCAGCACATCCCCAGAATGGTATGGTCTTCTGTGCCTGGAAGAAGTCGGTGAGCATCTTGGGAGCCACTGTGGAGGAGTAGCTGATGTCGATGAAGGACAAATTGCTGAGGAAGAAGTACATGGGTGTGTGCAGATGGGTGTCACCTCTGATCAGAAAGACGAGGGCCAGGTTCCAGGCCAGCGTCACAAGATAGATGCCCAGGAAGGTGACAAAGAGGAAGGCCTGGAGCTCTGGATGGTCTGCAAATCCCAGGAGGATGAACTCGGTCACTGACGAGCTGTTCCAGGCCTTGGCTGTGAACATGTTGTTCATGGACCACAAGCACAGGATGCAGACCTGGGACAATAACGATAATCCACATTACAGGTGACGTCGACAAATAATGACAAAAGACGTAAGAGGGAGGGCAGAGTATTACAGAGAGTTACGACTTTAAGCAAAGGTCCTGTCTCTTTCTTTAGGAAGGCCATGGTAGTCCTTTTCCAGGCCTTGGCTGTGAACATGTTGTTCATGGACCACAAGCACAGGATGCAGACCTGGGACAATAACGATAATCCACATTACAGGTGACGTCGACAAATAATGACAAAAGACGTAAGAGGGAGGGCAGAGTATTACAGAGAGTTACGACTTTATGCAAAGATCCTGTCTCTTTCTTTAGGAAGGCCATGGTAGTCTTAAACGTTTGCTTTTTAATATAGTGCGGGTGGTTTGTACGAACTTCCACCTTAGGTTTAGACTCCCCGTGATCAGCTGCTGCCCCAACCGTGTAGTAGCTGTGTCACTGTGGGTGGGATAGCTAACATCTCTAGGTTTCAAGTTCCTTATCTTTAAAAAGGCTGACAGTACCTACTTCACATATTCGTTTTAAGAATTAAATAAGGCAAAGTGTGTAAAGTGCCTGACTCATCATAAGTCCTCAGAGAAGGTTATTAGGACCGTTTTGTGTGTGCCATATCTGTCACGTCATGCCCTGAAATATCTATTCATCTGACTTCTCTCAAATTTTAATAATAGAATGGAGAATCCAGCAGAGGGGCCAGGTTCAGCTCTGTAGTTGGAAACAATCGGACATTTATGATGTTTTTAATTCAAAAAATTAGGCCAGAAGTATATAGAAATGTTCTTGTCAAATTTTAGATCTGAATATATTAATGTAGTTCCAGTTTCAAATTTGTCTTCAGTGTGAGGTCTCTTAGCTATTTAATTGTTGGGAATGTGGGCTGTAGATTTAGACTGGATTCAATTCCCAACTTTACCACTTAACAGGTGTGTGATCTTGAGCAGGTCACTAGAAGTCCTAGAAGTTCTAATCTGTAAAATCAGAGATAATAATAGCACTTGCTTTGTTGTTAGGATCTATCTAATATACCTATTATCTGTCTGTCTACCTACCTACCTACCTACTTACCTACCTATCATCTATGTATGTATGTATGTATGTATGTATGTATGTATGTATGTATGTATGTATGTATCTATCTATCTATCTATCTATCTATCTATCTATCTATCTATCTTCTGTCTAATCTCTTTTAGGGCATATCTGCCCCAAAGTAAGTATTCTATGTGTTTGCTGTTGCTGTTGTTTTTTAAAACCTAACTTACTGTTATCTTCAATCAAAATCTTAAGAATTTTCAGTGTGCAAAGCATCTTTCAAGATCAGGGACCATGTCTGTCGGAATTCCCATCACCCGCTCACGCATCCACACTAAGTCCCAGTCCACACAAGTCAGAAGGAGGCCTGCCGTCAGCAGGTCTCGGAAGCTGAGTCCTTTCCTTGCAGAAGGCGCTGGGATACGTGTGGCCGGAGGGCTTGGTGGCTCACGGTGAATAACCCTTAACGGTTTAGAATATATCTTGATCCTTCCCCAGGTCTTAATCTGAACACTTTGGAAATCAACAAAATTACCCTGTCTTTTAAACTACATTTCCAGCCTATTTTGCCTACCTCTTAAAATACAGTGACTCTCACAAATTTTATTTTTCCAAGTGAAAATATTATTTTATGATAAATGTTATTTTATGATAACATTTAAAGCAATATGCGAGAACTGTAGAATAATTTGAGCAATGAACAGCTGTGAGATAGTAAACCTAAAAATCATGTGCATCCCTGATTGATGCAAAAACAAAGAGACAAAACAAAACAAAAAAACCCCAAACCTTTGAAACCAGAAATTGTGACATTCCAGCTCCTGAAATAACAGCTGTTAAAATTTGGGTGTATGCCTTTCATGTGCAAGTATATGTATGTGTGTGTGGGTGTTTGTTTCATATACTTATTACAGAAATTACTCCAAGTTAGTAACTTTGTAATTTAGAAAGTAGCACACTCTCTGCTTGATCTCAATTTTTCTTGCTCAATTTAGCTGTGCCACTTGACTTTAAAATCCCTAGTTTATCATAAATCAATCCATATCTACTCATTGCCAGTCAAGGTCTTATTGACCTTTTTTCCTTCAAGATGTAACTGCTTTTCAGTTTAGTCTTTTTTTTTTTGTATTTCTTTTCTTTTTTGTATTAGGCTGTAACTCTTGATTTGGGCACATGTTTGGGTTTTTATAAATAACCAATTTGTTCTTAACACTAAGAGTATCAAACTCAGGATTGTCAGCTTGTTTATGATCATATCTTCTATTTTCTTTTTTTTTAAATTAAATCTATCGTGGTGACATTGGTTAATAAAATTACATAGGTTTCACATATACAATTCAATATACATCATCTGTATATCGCATTGTGGCTATTGTCATCCCTTAATGATATAAAGATACTCTCTATTTTTTTTTATATCCACTTAATAAAACCTCAGCCATTTAGCAAGGTAGGGACTCGGGGTCCGTGATGTGGTTCAGGGTTGTCTGGGGCCCCCATTCAAGTTAGCAGAAGGGACATGGGATAAGGCTTCAGGACGAGTCTGGTTCTAATCCTGACTCTGTGGTTGGCCCGCTGTGGGATGTTAGACAACTCATTTAGCCTTTCTGAGTCTTAATTTCTCCATTTGTAAAATGGGGATAACAGTGACTACTTAACAGAGTTGTCTGAAGATTGCTTGAGATAATGCATGGAAGTCTCCTGAGCCTCGAGATAGGATAGTTGCTTAATCTATTGGGACTGTGATTACTATTCATAGGGAATATTCCTTAAACAATTATTTATAGAACCGATACTTTTTTTTTTAAACACTTCCTCATGTCATAGGTTGAAGTGTGCTTATCTTCAGAAATGAGGACTCCACTAATGTACCACGCAGGTTTGTAAGAAGTGTTCAGGGGGTGAGGTTGAAGAATTTAACAATCTGGGGGTTGATATGTCAACCAAAAATCCGCTGTGCCATTAGAAGGGCAAATTTTCATATTTAAGGATAAAATTTCCCCAACCCCAGAAATAGAAAGTGAAGCTGAACAAATCGAAATAAGCAGAAAAGCATACCTAGGGTTTTATTCCCACATGTGCATGCCCTGAATCTTATTCTAGAACAGTAAATGGAAGGTGTAAAATGACCACTGTATGTCACTGAACTCTGCTCATGACGAGGTGCTTCTTCCCTTGAGAGAGAAAGGAGATCTCACTCTTGCAGCAAACTTGGGGAAGCTCTGTCTGTGTCTGGACTCCCTACGGTCCTATGATGGAGATATAATCGCCACCAGGCCTATTTCACCGAGCTGAAGAAGGACAGTCTGAGAGGCTCAGTGACTTCACTGGATTCACAGATGCTGAAGCTGCATCTTTGTGAATACTAGTCTTCAAGGCCACGGTGACGACATAATAATACAGTCAAATTAAGCCCCTAGCACAGTACCTTGCACATAGAAGACACTCAGGAATTGATGGGGACCTGTAGAATTGATTTATGACTCAGCTCATCTTTTATCAAGTCTGAGCTTCACAGATTCGGTGATGGAAGAAAAAGAAAATGAAATAACGGCAAGGAAACCCTTAGCTAGACCGTGGAGCTGGGGATTCTCCATCTTTCCTGATCTGCCGTGTCCTTCACTTCACGAGGACTCCTTCTCGTCCCCTTGCGGGTACCCGGGTCCTCTCGATTTGTTCTTCCAGGTCTCGTCTTCCATCTGAATGTACAAATGATTGATGGATTCGAAAGAGTCCCTCTCAAGGTGAGGTGAGAATTCAAAACACACCAAGACTTTAATCCGAGAATTAAGATTCAGATGGTGAAAGTCAAGCCATCAGTTAGAAAAGAGGAGGGTTTGGAGGTTAAAGGTCTCTGCGGGGTTTGGAAAATCTGCTATGTGAAGTCTCCATTGATTGCAGCCCTTCCAAATGGCTTTTCAGATTACTTACTGATATTTGGGGCTGTGTTCAAGGACGTAGCAAGTCCTTCAGAAATTTCATGCCCTCTTCATTCTCTTGCGCATTGCAAAACCTCAAACATGGTCCGGGAAGCCCATCAAAGGAGCAGAAAGGTAAGATTGGGGCTAAATTTGAGGAAGCACAGATAGAATAGAGAGGTACATGAAGAAGAACTAAAATCCAAAGAACTCCTCTGTCTTCTACATGGGCTCATAGACCCAGGATGCTCTATATAGTGACATTAATACAGGCATGGCGACAAAATGTAAAAGATGAACGACTACACTCACCCTCTCTCCTCTTCGTCTGTCTGTCCTGGAGCTGATACCTGTCTTGAGTTCTGCTTTGGAAGGAGTCTAATCCCGCTCCAGTAACTGCTTTCAATCCCCAAAGTGCTAATGAGTTTCGAGAGCAAATTTGAGGCTCGTTGGTTCATCAAAGATAAAAATATCTGCCTGGTGCATAAAATATGTGTTTGTGGGCAGAAAAGAGAGGGGAAAGGAATACAGAAAGAAGAGGGGAGATGTGATCTTCAAGGAGTTCTCCTGGTATCTGCTAATATCTGCCTTCGGGGTCATTCTGGAAGTGTTTCAATTCTGAGGTTGGGGGTGAATTTGAGAGAGGTTTTTTCCTCTCTCCTTTGAGATGTTTCATTACCTTTGCCCTCAAGGGTCTCCTTTGAAAGAAAAAAGAATGTATCACCCCAACTTTGCAGACTTGTAGTTAATTGATCTCTGGGGGGTGGGATGGAGAACACATGCTTATGTAAATGCTCTGGAAACAATGCTTATTAAATGCCATCCCCGTGGCCAGCTCCCTCAATCCCCCAAGGCTAATCAAGCTCTCTTCTGCTAGGACATGACTAACAAATCCTGGATAGCCACAGGATGCAGGACGTGATAAACGCCTGCTCTGCAGAAGGAAGCGAGATTGCATATATACTCTTTCTCACTTCTTTATAGAACTTCTCTGGCTGGAAGGATGT